AAGAGAAAGAAAGAAGGGGAAGAAGAGGGATTGGGTGGGTGAGGGTAGTTAGGTAATTTTATTTGTTTTTATTTAAACTATAAATATTAATCTACGTGTCATTTTTCTTATTTATATAACATAATTAAAATATATATTATTGCCACATCATCAAAAAAATTAGAAGATAATGCCACTTGAAATTATTTAACTGCCACATCATATTTAACTGACAGAGGGACCAAAACTGTGCAATTTTTAGAGTCGAGGGATAAAAAAAATGCAAAAAATTATTGAGGGATAAAAAATGTGCATTTCTTAAAGTTGAGGAACTAAATTTAGCATTTAACTTAAAATAATTGTAAATCAGTTGTGGTTTTTTATAATTTTTAAAAAAAGAAATTTGAAAAAATTATTAAACACACACACACACATATATATATATATATATCTAAAAATACCATATGACTATACGAAAAAACTTCCAACCACACTCATAAACGAACCCTTAGTTTGACAACATTGTCCAATACTGTCTGATAATTGCAGTTGTTAAAAGTATTGTACTGTAGTATTGTACTATCACCAAAAGTATTTTAGTGCTTGGTAATTATATTTCAAAAGAATTACGTATTGTAAAATTATTCAATTCAATAGATTATTATTTAAAATTAAATTAATTAATAATTTAATATATAATGTATAGAATAGATTTGAGAATTTTATTAAATTATTTAAAAATTCTATTAATTTTAGATAAGGTGATTTTTATATTCTTTTCTAAAAAAGTAAGTATATATAATTTATCATTCACATCAATTATAAAAAGTTTTGTAAATATCTGTAAAAAATATTGTATGCAACTTTGTCAAACAAAGTCTAAAGCACTCAGATTTTACACATTTTTCAAGTTTGGCCTGGTGATATTTTTTATTAAATTGGACTTCCAAACTTTTTAACTTTAATAATTAAATCCTAATTAGAAGTAATGAAATTAAAATATACAATTTTTTTGAGGGCTTAACTTACAATATTTGTGAAGTTCTGAAATTTAAATACTTTTAGATGTTGGAGGGGTAAATATAATTTATT